TGTCCCTCCCACTGCATTTCGCTCTCACTCTCTTCAGCAAGGCAATTTCTGGTGCATTTCAGGACAATATTAACCCATTCCTCTTTCTCTGTCAGTAGGGAGATCCAGAATTTAAACACAATTTAGAAGTCAGTTCTAGCAGCTGGCTGGCAAGGAACAGCATTTCCTTGTCAAATCTGAAATGAAATGAGCTTGCAGGTCTCAGCCCATTGAATCCCCAGCTCTCAGTGATGTGTGAATTTAAGCTCTGTGAGAACTAAACCCACCCATGCCTGGGATCCCATGTGCCTCCCCCTCACCACCTGCACCCCACTTCTGGAAATCCTTTGCCTCCCTCTTCACACCAGGCCCGTGCAGCTCTGCACCCTCCCTCTGCCTGGCAGAGGCAACACCGGCAGCAGGCAGTGCGGCACTGAGCCTCTGCCTCCTGCATCTCTGGGCTGTGCTCTGGGATGCTGCTACACTGCCAAGCGTGGGGACTCTCATTCAATCTACTGCTATTTACACTGCTTCCTCAGAAATCTTCTGGTGTAGGACAAGAAGAGGCAGGGGAAAGGACCCCACCAGTTTTGTGGATCCATAGAAATAAGACAGCTCTGCAGAGTGGAACTAGGGATGAGGAAAACGAAGGGTGAAAGATAGATAAGAGAGAAGACAAGGAAGAAATGCTCATAAGATCATGTGAAGGGAAAGAAGTGGCCCATCAGCAGACAGCAGTGAAAGAAGCAGTGTGGAAAAGAGACGCAGCACCAGGACTGTGTCCAGCGCCTGTGCCTTGCCTTGCCTTGCTGTCGGCTTTTCATTTCTGCAAACACCAAAATTGCACTTAACTCTCATGCGCTGCTCAGATATAACTAACTGGAAAGGGAACAGATCAGCTCATTAATTTTCCTTGGGAAGGGTCTCTAGGCAGGAATTATTTTCTGCATCAACATCCATTCAATTATTTGCCTTCACACCAGTAAGATCTACAGGGATGTCTAACCCCATGCGCATCACTCATGCCTGCCTGCCCTGAACTCCAGTCTCTTCCTTCTCAGTATAAAAGCCTCCCATACCTATCCCTTTCCTAATAATAATGACAACATGACAAAACCAATAACCTACAGATATAAAATACATTTCATTTACTTGCTTCATAAGACCCTGATAAGGCTTCGTCATTCACTTTTTGAGATCCTGTAGGAGATCTACAGGAGCTAATGAAAGAATTAGACAAGGCATCACTCATAATAAGAAGTGTTTTAAAAGCATTCGGTGCCAAGGAGGAATTAGGCTGGAAGCTCCGCAGCCATTTCAAAGTTGTAAGAGGTGCAGCACTTTTGTGCGCCATGAGCTCATGGGTCTCAGCTGCTAGATGTACATTCACACTCCATATATACGTGGTCAGGGGGCTGAGGTAGGTTCTGCCATTTTTCTTGTAGAGCAAAAATTTTTGAGCACCTCAGGTACACATTTAAGCACTCCCAAAGCCTTAGAGAGAAATATCTGAAGGAAGATTAGAAAAATAATTGGAAGCATGGTCTGCAGTAATGGGAACCACCATCACCTTTCTGCTCTAGCCTCACTGTTGAACAGGGGCTCCCTGTAGGATGCAGGAAAGAGAGGAGAGGGATCCCAACAGAGGCTGAACACCCAAAATGATGCTGCTGTTTGGAGAAACACAAAGCTCTGAAGATACTGACTGAGAATGTTGAATGACTGGACAGAGGGGAACTGTAAAATCCTAAAAGCCCAGGAACCAAATTGTTCAAGGGGAACTCGCTTTCTGATTGCAGCATATCTGTGCATACAGGCTGAGCCTCCACGTTCCTTTTTGCTATTGGATATCTTGGCTAAGATAAAGAAATACAATTTACCACAGCATTGAAATATGAAGAGTTCACCATTTCTGACAGCCTACAGTGCTGGCTAGTGCTAGCATTCCCTTATGTCCCCCAAAATGAAGTCAGCCTCATCAGAGCCTTCCTATTGTTAGCAGAAGATTGTTTTGGCTCCTTCTTTGATTATTTTCTCATTAAAATTCCTCTGCCCTCCTCTTCAGTGACTCTCAAAACCTTATGGGCCTGCCCCATTTCTGTCCCACACTCATCTCCAGGTTTTTTTTTCCACACTGTGAGCAGGGTGTGAGCAGAGTCCAAGGGTTTGGCCATTTCCACAGTCTCCTTGGGAGCAACTTTTTCCTTTCCCAAACCTGTCCAACCCATGCACCACAGGGGAAAGGAGCCCCTACAGCACCCTTCTCCACCCAGATTGCAGCTCTCGCTTGGGAGATCAAGTGAATCAAGGACACCTTTCTGATTCCTTATGCTGAGAAGGAAGACAACCTTCTGGCTTATCAGATATGATATCTGGAAGTTGCCCAGTGCCCTCTCATGTGTGTCTATTGGGGGTATCTGGCTGTGCCATTCTGGGATTAAGGAGTGACAGCCACCAGCCCATGCAGACTTGGGATGAGGGGAGCCAGTCAGAGGTATCCTCAACCATGAGGAACAGCCATGCCCATGTCAATGCTCAGTGTATGGCCATGGAACTCCTGTTACCTAGCTCACCCTAAAGTTCTGGGACAACCTGTGTCCTCAGGCTGGTGAGGGTCAGAGCAGGGTTTGCTCCCAGGCAGTTCCTAGAACCTTCCAGCCCCACTTAGAACTTCTGCCCCACATCCAGCAGTTTTGGGGAGCCAATCAGGCTCCTCCTTTGTGTGGTGGGGACAAAAGAGAATCCCCCCATCTCTCATGCTGCCTTTCCCAGCTCTTGTGTAGGGCTGCAGTCTGAGTTTGCATGAGAGCATGGGCAGGGGACCAAGATGGCATTGGGAGGAACTGGGAGCACTTTGGAACCTTCAATAGAGAGCATCCTGGCAATTTCCCTTATCACGCAACCACTTCTCCACAGTCCCTATGGGGTCCTGCTGGATGTAAATGAGAAGGAGCCTTGAGCTCCTCCAATCTGACAAACCTCACCCGCCCCTTCCTCCTCCCCCTCTGATCGTGTCCCTCTGGATCTGGCTCTATGGGCACATGGACATGATCTGAATTCACTGCCACTCCTGGCCAGGGTCCTCACACCTCTTATCTCCTCCCCAGCCTCCTTCCGCCCTCTGGCTCGGGGACACAGCTCATGAGGGGAGTTCTCCCTGCAGCCTCCCTCCCTCCTCACATGGCTTTGCTTTTGGGCTTGCTTTTTTTTTTTTTTTTTTTTTTTTTTTTTTGCCTCCTCTCTCATTAATTTTTAATTAAGGAGATGTCTCTCTCCCCTGTTGTAATGAATAGCCATGTGAAAGCCTTTTCATTCTTTATTAATATATATCTCCATATATTTATCTATTTGGAGGAAATGCGTGCATGTGCGCGAGCGAGTGTGTTTAAAACATCCCCCATTAATTTACTGCTATTGATTTTCTGGCGTGGAGACAGCATATAGTATTCAGCATAGAGCTCCTCTGCAGGATATGTTAAAAGGCAGCAGTTTGGGTTGACAAAGGGCACTAAATGCAGTATGCGTCAAATAGACCATCGCTCAATGAAGTCACTTAGCTATTCAAAACATGTCCAGCCATCACTCAACCGTTTGCACCAAGAATGGGGGGGAAATTTGCTCTTCTTCCCGGACACAACCATTTCTAAACAGCAGCTCTAGCTTGCTTTGGTGGGAGATATTAGGACATACACAGTTTATTCCCCCTCCCCCTGCCTTGCATCTCCCAGTGTACTCTCAGAAAATCGCTCCTGCGGTACCTGCTTCCCCTCTTGCCCATCAGGGAGCTCCAGGCACACCCAGCTCTGGGGGGCACTAGCAGACCCAGGCGTTATTCACAGGCACCCACCAGCCCTTTTAGCCCACTCTCTGGCTGGGGGCTGATTCATAAGCAGCATTTTGATACTGGGCTGCAATGTGCGCTGCCTTGCTCTCGCTCCCTCCTTCTCACTACGTGTATAACAGAAAACCACGCATTTACATTGGTAGCCCCTATCTCTCCAGCACCAGCTGCAGTCCACCTCCCCAGCCCACATGTATGCCAATAGCAAGACTGAGCAACACATATTTAAAAGTGAACCGCTGGCCCCTCGCTTCTCTCCCCCTCCCTTACGAACGCCTGATTCCAGAAGTTGGCTGCGGCAGTGGCTTTTCTGCCATCAGACATGTCACTGAGTTGCTGTGCAGTTCCACCACATAAGACTTGGGCTGATTTTTCTATACAGACACTTGTTTATTTTTAGCTTCTACCATAAACCTTAAAGAAAAGCCCCCAAACAAAAATCTAACCCCAACAACGAACAAGTGGGGGAAAGATCCCAGCCCCAAAACAAACCAATCAGCTGCCAAATAAACCCCCCTGCACCCAGCCCAGTAAGATGTGGTTGCTCACAGACATTATGAAATGCTCTGAACTCTGCTCGAGAGGACTAGAATCACCAGATTTACCGTATGAGACATTTTGGACATAGCAGACTTATTTCCCATTCTCTCTTTTTTCCTCTCTAAAGTGAACCAATAATTGCATCTGAATTGCTTTGCAGTCACCTCCTCCCCACATTGCCCCTCACTCCCAGTTAGTCTTTGCAAATAAGCCATTTGCAAAGAGACAAATTATTTCACTCTGTGGTTGCAGACGGAGCAAAGCAATAACACAGCATTTTGGCATTGCTTTCCCAGGCAATACAAACAATCTGAAGACAGGTAGATCACATAGTTGCTTTTTGAAAGGGTCTCTTGGTGTTTTTGTAAGACACATATTATTCCCGTCAGAAGGGGGGGTGGGAGTGAAATTCTGGGGAGAGTGTAGGGCAGAGGCTGAGGAAGGGAAGAAGGGAACGGTGCAAAGAATAATTTGCTTGTCTTCTTGCCTCCGTACCCCATGTAACTAAGCCCACCACTCTCAATTGTGGTGGAAGGAATGAAGTTAGAAAATGGTGGAATGTGAAGGGATTTATTGGGAGTAGTGTGTGTGTGTGGGGGGGGGGGGGGGGGGGGGGGGGTGGAGATCCAGAATCAAATACCTTCCAGGCAGCAGGTTCTCCATAATCCAGAATGGGTCATGACTTCCTCGTTCTTTTTGCTGGTTTCGTTCTCACTGACAGTTTTAGTCTTGCAAACCCCTCTGGAGTAAAGCCAGTAGTCGGTCCCCACAGCTATGGTCATCAGGCTGAAGGCAGCGAAAGCACCAACGGTGGTTAAAAGCATCTGAACACCTCTGTCAAAGAGCCCCATAATTCTTCATTATACAAATACCCAACCGCCTTCTGATTCTTGGGGTGTGTGTGTTTAATAAAATAAAAGAATAATAATTCCGACTAATAATATAATGGGTATATATAGAGAGATAGATATCAAAAAAGAGAGGTAAGAAAGCCCACGGAAAAGAGTGTAAATTAGAAAGACCACACAGGAACAGGCTTGCCTTTTAAATCGGAAACGTTCTGGTTGAAATATAAAAAAAGGAAAAAGGAAAAAGAAAAAAAAAGAGAGAGACAAAAGAACCAAGAAAAAAACAAACAAATAAAGAGAGAACCCCCCCCAAAACGAGACGCCTTAATCCCTTTTTCTAAAATTCTGGTCTCCAGTTTCCATATGTAATGGCTAATTTGGAGATGGCTTCCACAGTGAACAGGGGAGCAGCAGCAGCATCCTCAACACAATCTCTCATTATCTGGACCTAGACAGTTAGAGACTGTAAGAGCAGAGATGCAACCTTCAGTCTTCTTGCTTAGCTCTGCAGCCTGCGCCATGAAAATCCTTTTCCTTCCCAGTTATCTTCCTTGGGTTTTTATTTTTTTTCTCCCGGCAGCGGCAGTCGCTCCAATCCTCTCTCACTTTTTCTTGCTTGCTTCTCCTTCCTTTCGTTCGCTCCTACCACCAAGCCAGACTGCCCAGTATACTGTAAGCCCTTGATTTCAGCTGAACAGGTGCCGAGGTCTTGCCTCCCATGGCTTTTCCGCACAGCCGCGGCGCTCGCTCCCGGCGGAGGTGGGCGAGGAGAGAGGGGGGCTCCTGGGGGAGGAGGGGGACAGGCGCGGCGTTCTCCTGGGCTGGGGGCTCGGAGCGGCGCCCGGCTGCGGCACCCCCTGCCCCGCGGCGGCCCCCGGCGACTCCCGGGCCCCGCTACTGCATCAAGGCGGCGAGGCGCTGGACAGATCCCCCGCGGCGGCGGCGGCGGCCCGCGGTGCTGAAGGACAGCTCCCCGGTCCGCGGCGCGGGAGGAGCGCTCCCGGCACCCCGGTGCTGAAGGACAGCTCCCCGGGCGGCAGTGCCGGAGCGGCGCTCCGCGGCCCGCGGTGCTGAAGGACAGCTCCCCTGCCCGCGCCGCCCGCGCCGCCCGCCCTGCCCGCGCCCCAGCATCCGCGGGCGGCAGCCGCCCTCCTTCGCTCTGCGCGGGCAGGCAGGCAGGCAGGCAGGGAGGGGCGGAGGGGGCAGCCTCCCCCCTCCCTGTGCCTACCCCGCCGCTGCCAACCCCGGGCTGAGTTGCTCCCCCCGGCTGCCGGAGCCCGGGGGAAGGCGTAGCTGGGGCTCTCCCTCTTTCTGCCTTTCAGCCTTTCGCCCCCACCCGCACCCCCCCCCTCCGCCCCCCGGCTCAGCTGCCTCGCATCCCCGCCATACGTGCCCAGAGCGGCAAGCACAACCCGCACACGCTGCAGTTAGACCCGTACAAAACTTCAGGCAGCCGTTTTCTCTCCCCAGGAGACGGGTGAAATGTAACGTGGAAGGGTAATTTAAAAATAAGCATTTATTTCTCTTATTTTTGTTGTCGTTATTATATTTAAGTGCTCGCTTCTCACTCTTCTCAGCTTTGCTGCAAGTTGCATATGTTTTGGTGTTGCTCGTTTTCCGTCCCTCTGTCTCCCCCTGACCAATGTTGTGTGAATCCCTGCATTTTGACTTTCTCTTCGTAGCTTTCCGTGAAATCCCATAGCTTGTTTCAAGAAGCAGACATTTTGGGAAGATTTTTCACAAGAAAGGTCGATTTCTTGTTATTACTGTAATTTTGCTAAGGAAAGGGACCACCAAACTGAATTCCTCTCCCCCAACCCTGGAAAGTATTCCACATTTCAATCTTCATTTTTCCAGAAAGATGCATGAAGTGAATGGATGCAGGCTGAAATCAGTGCTTAAGTTTTTGTGTCAGACACAACTTGATAGTACCGAGAATGTATATTAAATTGTGCAATGCTAACATCTTGGTATGTCATAACTGTCTCTTCATTCCTCAGCAGTATCATTACATCAGGTTAATTACATTAGTCACCTCCTCGTTCTATACACGTAGCTGCTCATTAATGCAGCAATCATAAAGAAAAGAAATCATCTAATTCATGATGCTTCCGATTTTGTTTCACTCTGATCAGATTCATTGTTCGGTTAAGAGAGCAGAAGGACTGCATTAGGTTCACTGCTCTTCTAGGGGAATTAAGGGGTTGAGGGGAGGGGGTGCCGGATAGTTGAACCAGTTGGAGAGCTTCAGCCACACTGTAATTTTGTAACTCCATTTATCTCCTCCATTGTCCTTCTCTGGGTGCAACTGGGATTGGCATTCCAGGACAATCTCCCTCAGGACTGTTGGACATGAAGGACTCTATGGAAAGCAGCAGGAGAGGAGGGGGCACAAAAGGCAGCTGAGCATTTCCTCTCTTCAGCAGAGACCTGAGTACATGATGGGGTGTTTACCAGCAAGCACGGATGGTGTGTGGCATCAGCCGTATGCAGATTGTTACCAGCAGGTCCTGGGGAGGCAGAAGGGATGGGGGATGAGGCAGGTGACAGTGCAGGTTGGGTCCACTAATACACTGCTGAGGGACAACCACAGCTCCTAGCCTCATCTGGGGGGGTCCTGGCCTTCTTCTCTCTTGGAAAAGGTTTTTTTGTTTATTTGTTTGTAGGGCTTTTGTTGTTGTTGTTGCTTGGTTTCTTGTGGGTTTTTTGTTGTTGTTGTTGTTTTTTTCTTTTTCTCTGCACTCATGGAGCTGCCAAACAGCTGAGGATAGGCAAGGGAGGAAGTGGCCCTTGTGGGCTGTGTATTTCAGCTTGCTGGAATAGTGGTGAGCATGGTAGCTGTGGGGAGGCTCTCTGAACTGTTGGCCTTGGTTCAAATGAAGGGTGAAGAGATACAGAGAGTCCTCCTAGGATGGTGGGAGATTACAGCTCTACAGAGGTGGCTTGAGATGAGGATGAGGTCCTCCAAGGCTTTTAGCTAGGGGAGCTACACAAGAACACCCTAGGACTTCTCTGCTCCTGAATGCTTTCTGCTAAAAGAAGGAAGGTTAAGGGATGAATGTACCATTCTGGTGGTTCTGAGCCATTTATTTTTGTGTTGGTGGTCATTACTCTCCATCCCACCACTGAGGTTCTATTATTCAAAGGAAGGTTGAAAATTTGAGCCAGGAGCCTGGAAGACTCTGAAGAGGAAAAATTTCAGCAGACTACGTTGGCATTAAAATCCATCAGGCATCAACACTGAGTACATGGAAGGAAATCTCTCCAAGCAAAGTGGGCTCCTCAATTATTTTGTGCTCTCAAAATAGTGCGGTACAGCTCTCCCATTAATGTCACAAAGCATCCTGGCTGGAGTGAGTGGAAGCAGAAAGGATTCAGGCCTTATAGAACCTCACTTGTGCCCAAACAGCAGGGTCATTCAAAGAGGATAGGGAGAAAAGGTATATTTTCACTGTGGGCTCCCCTGGGCACCCCATGCTGTTAAATGTTTATTTTACTGTGACAAATTGGAAGGCCTCTTCAGATCAGGGTGTGTGGGGCTGCACAAATGGGAGCTGTCTTTTGGTAGCTTCTGCTGGAAATTGAGTAGAGTGAGACAAGTAGAATGAGTGAACAGCCACTGCGGAAGTTGCAGACTGGGACTTGCAATGCATCCCAACACAGAGAAAATTCACAGATTTCATCTGTAATCAGAAAAATACTGCTGGAACTGCTGGATTACTTATCTTCACATTTGATTAATTCAGATAATTTCAGAGGATGAAGCAGAAGCTGGGCCAAAACAGAGGCCCTCAAACTAATCTGTAACTGTTGCCTTTATTATGTATTTCTACAGATTTTGCAAGTTTGATTTCAGATGACTCCACAAACAAGATAGGGACACATTCTCTCCAAAGAAACTGCCAGTACAAGAAGGCCAGGCCTGCAGAACAATGAGTCTTTTAATCTCTGCCTAAGAGCAGTGGGTCCTGTGATGGTTTATTATGTCTCAGGATCAGGACTAAAGGTGACTTCCTGCCTCACACTTCCCAATTTTCAGAAATAATTCTCTTCCTGCTACCCTACTTATATCCTCTTAAACCATTCACAATAATCCCTCTACAGTTGTTCTAAATGCTGCTGGAGAAGAACAGAACAAAGGCAATGCAAATGCCAGAATGTCCTGTGTGACTGCTTGTGCTGTGGCTAGATGCTGGGCTGAGATTTCATCTTTCCTACAAAGAATCGTTAAAAATGATATAACAAAACAAGAATATAGATTAAAAACACTGTGGCAGAATTTTACAACAGTTGCATCTTACTGAATAGCGCAACACAGAATGACATCTATAGAAGAGTAAGGAGAGAGAAATTAATAGTCTGGAGGAAATAGAGAGATTTTAAATTACATTTTAAATTACTTGAAATGAGAAGCTGATGAGACAAGGAGCCGCAGGAAGTCTGCTTCCAATGGCAAACCAAGAGTGCTGCTATTTGTGGAGAGAAGGGGCAGTGCTGTAGGAAAGAAAGGGGCACAAGAAAGATACAGGAAGGGAGATGAAGGGCATGAAGTTGGAAACAACTCCATGGGATGGTAATGGAACTGAATAGAGTATCTCTGGATCGAGTGCTGCAGTGGAGATTTTTGGCTCAGGATAAAATCAGACAGTGATTTGGTACCAAGGAATCTTCATACTGGGCAGGCCATCTCAGGAGGTGCTGCTGTAATGAGATGTAAAAGAAATGGAGTTGATGCAGTTGTATTTGCAGGCAGAGCAGAGGTGTTAATAGACAGCTGCAACAGCAGAGGAGATGTTAGGAAAAATAAATTGGGGTTAGAGTGATGATTATAGAACTGAAAACCAATGGGGCAGAAAGATATAAGTGAGATATGATCCAGAAAAGGAATTAATATTTAAAAAGTTTCACTGGAGAAGGTTGAAAAAACCCTATATATCCATGTGTTTAGATAAGCAGAGAGGGTGATCAGAGCAGTCATCACTGGCATTCAAAGCTGGGGGACCCAAAATATGCAAGAAACATTATTTACATCATATCTGCACGCTGGTAGTATTCTTAGACCAATTTAACAAACTAGCAAACTGAAGAAAGAAGAAAATTTGTGTTTTGTCCAAGAATCACATGTGGAGATGATAGAGAGATAAATACAGATGTACAAATCCTCAGTGGTCCTCTCTCCTTAACTTCAGGTCTTTTAAG